GTGGGCTGAAAAAGGAACAACCGCACCGCCACCTTGCTTGGTGAACTAATACAAAACAAATCTTCACACAACGATGCAGAGAGTCGAGCAGGTTTGCCTGGTGAGGCATGGTAATGGAGAAAAGCAGGGGAGGGGATGAATGCCATTGCATGTTTGACTGGTTGGTGCAACTTATGACAACAACGCCACTTGTTAGTGCCTTTTAACTGTTCTTGAATTTAGTTAGAGCTCTGTTGTCTTTCCGTGTGCTCTGCAACAGCTCATCGTCATATTCTCCAGATGTCGAGCTCTAGGTGGAAGTGTTCACATTCAAAATCTCGTCTACCGTTAAGGTAACTAGTTGGGAAGGTTATTACATGCATACATACACATGCATAAATATGTTTGCAATAGCTGCAACCCATTGAAGCATTCAACCATTACAAGTGGAACTGGTGCTGGAGCTCTAGCTGTGGCTGTAGCTGGCGCAGCTCGTCGTTGCCATTCGTTGCGATTGGGAGGTAAAAGTGGCGGCGGTCTCGCTGTCGCCTTCTAAATGTCTGTGGCAAATGATGATTTTGCTGTTGCGATTCATTTGGCATGTCGTTTTCTATTTTTATTATTATTTCTCCACTGTTCAACGATTGCCATCGAAATACTGAAAATGTCATCATTCAATAATAAAATGACATGCCACTTGTTTTATTCAATTTCCTATCATTTAAGTTGGTAATTGAGTGTGGGGAATTGGGGGAGTGTGGGGTTGTGTGTATTTAGGCCAAGGATGTGCCAGGCAAAAGGATACAACCACTTAGTAATGGTTTAGAAGTAATTGAATTGGGATTTTCACAATATTACGGTGACGCGAAGACAAGAAAGGAACACTGTTCGGACCATCAGATATTTATTTGTGTCCATGCCTCGCATTCAAAGATATTCACGAGAGAGTTTGAGAATATTTTTTTTTATGAATTACAAGATTGAAAACTATTGGTTGTTGTTGCCAACACAACTCTGGGGAACTGAGCCGAATAACCCATTAACAGGTAATTTGAACAAACGTTTGCAGGGCAAAAATTAAGGGATATTCCTGAAGAAAAAAAAAAGGAAAAATCTTATTACCAGGTAATGAGCAAAAAAAAAAAAGAGCACAGTCAGTCCACCAGACTACAAACCTAAAGGATGTGAGTTCGAGACTTGTGCAAGGAAACCTAATAAAATACGAAGAGTTTTTGGCGTAGTTGTGAGTTATAAGGTTTCGAGTTCAATAATAAAAGCAAGTTGAAAAGTATCAGTCGGGTTTGTCGACAGATATATACCCTCAACCAATGTTCGATTATTTAAATATATTTTGACTTCTGTTATGATTATTCAGATTATTGACCCCTGTATGGAATAGGTTCCGAAGGAATGGGCCAATATAGTCCGTTTCGTATCGGACCTAAATATATATGACATACATTTTCCGACGCGTAAAAAATTTGGTCTATATTGGTTACTTCCTTCATTTTATATGTGATAATTTTTAGAAAATGTTAAAATGTGCGTGAGGTACCAGTTATAGTCTAAAGAAGTATTGCATTTGCCTGCTTCATCTAATACAGATACAAATATTGGTATGGGCAAAATTGCAAGATAATCGAACATTTATATTCAATTTTATACGAAATCATAAATTCCATATTCATCTCAGGTTTCTGGTTGAGAGAAATTTTTAGATATAGGAAGATGTCAGGAATCGCTGACTTGTTTCGCAAGTTATGACAGATAAAAGTATTGAAAATTGTGACTCTTTGTGAGTGAGGTACCAGAAGGGGTTCGTAGATATCTATCATCTTTACAACATATCTTGTGTTAGCAAAAATGTTTGCATGCGTGACATTGAGCGACAAAAATCTTCAACCCTACGTGGGAAGGTACCAGTGGAAATTTCTACCGATCTCTACAATTTTTAGTACTGATCTTGTGTTGATGGAAATATTGAGATGTGCCCAATTTGAAAGGCATCGGTTGTTAATTTCGCTTTTTATGAGCTTCATGGATATTCAAAATGTTTACCCTTGCCAGAATGAGTGAACCGATGTATCTCATCTTCACAGAAGATCTTGTGTTTGTAGGAATAATGTGATGTTTGAAATATAAAGAGAACCGGATGCATATTTCGGATTTTATTAATGGTTTGGTAATTCAAAATCTTGACCCTCTGTGGGTGAGGTACCAGAAGAATGGTCCGATTTCTACCATCTTTATAGAAGTCTGAATAGAATTGAATGTTAATTTCGCTTCATTGATATTCAAAATTTTGACCCATTCTGGGGGAGGTACCAGAGGGCTTGGACCAATATATCCCATCAGACCTTGGATTAATAAAAGTGATGTGTGTAATTTGAAGATAATCGAAGTCTTACATCACATTTTATAAGATTTATAATTATTCAAAATTTTGACACTTTGTGGGGGTGGTACTTGATGGAGTGGACCGATATTGTCTATTAGGATTTGCAAAGTTGAAGCAAAATCGGACCATGCTTTATCTTTTTGTGCAGCAAAATATATATTTTTTTGATAATTTCTACCTTTTGTGAGGGAGGTATCAGAAGGAGTGGACCGATATTGTCTATCTCCGAACTCGATCTAAGTTTGATAACAATATTACGATGTTTGGTATCAAAATCAAATCGGATACTTCCTTCGAGAGTTATCTTGCTCAGCAGCCAGACAGATGGACGGGCATCGCTAGATCGACTCCAAATGTTCTGAAACGGATGTGGCCCAAAGATACTTACGGTCTAAAACCGTTATATCGATGAGGCACTTTTGGCGGTATCCTATGATATAATACCCTCTCTAGCCATATGGCTGAAGGTATAATAATATGAATTGTAAATAAAATTTAGTAAATTACAAATGGAATTCTCGAATCACATTGGAAATTGAGATTCTAAAATTACAAATATATTTGATGACGTATAGTTCCTACCAATATTTGACTTTGGTTGTGTTAAACTTATAAAATTGTCATTATGATCGGCCGGGCAGCATTTTTTACACCATCCTCCGTAAAACAGCTGTTCTACCCATTACGAACTCATGGTACAAATTTACAGCCCATTCGTTTCATAATTCGTTACTACCATTGTATAAAGTCTATTCGAAATAGAGAACCCTGTTTAAGTTTTTTTATTAGGTAGAATCTCTCTACCTACTAAGAACTCGAAATTACAGCATATTTGATGGAAATACTGAATATCAGGAGGTAAAGTTAGAAATGGACCCCAGGAAAGGGTATGGTGAAAAATGCGTTTAAAGCCTTCCAAATGGCGAACATCAGAAGGAACCGTTATGTGTGGGGGTATAGCTAAACGTAAATAGACATAGAGCATTTTATATGCCGATTACATTGTGCGTCAAAATTATTTTTTTTAATAATTACAGGAATAGTTTTACAGATTAGAAATCAGGGGTAAATTAAAAGACTTACAAATTGGCATTTTTAAAGTTTATATGGTTAGGTATTTGGGAAGTGGGAGCCCTCTTTCAGATTTTTCAGATTTTCGGATTAATATTTCTTGGATTCATTGCATTTTAGGTATATGCTGGACAATATTTCAAACAATAAACGAGGATTATTCTGGTTTAAAATGTTAATCGCCAAGCAAGTCAGCAAAGGGATTTTTGGTCCTTTTTTAAATGTAGCTAACAACTTCCTTTAAATGGGATCGTAGCAAGTCAATAGCTTACAAATTTATTTGTCATAAAATTCTACTTAAGATCCCAGAAGGCATTAAAAGTCTAAATCTTACCTACAGGTCAGGAAAACACATTTTGGGGGTACAGCTGTGAGCTTTATGGGAATTTATGCAACAATACACCATCTTAGAATGATGATGTCAAAGACCAATATTTTCTTCACCAGAGAAAACAAATCTATATTTCTATTGTATATCAAAAAAAAATTTTGCATCAATGTCCGCGAATAAAAAAAAACAAAGATATATTATAATTTTATTTCGGACATTTTGCGAGTTGGTGCATGAAAGCACCATTATATTTCATTTTAAGCAAAAAATGACAAAGATAGAAATATTTCACACAAAATTTCAGTATAAGTCTCAGAACCACATATAATTTTAAAGAAAATTGTGCTCGAAATTTATATATTTTAAGTAAAAATTATGTGTTTAAGTTTTTGTCAAAATCTCCCTTAATACTTCATTTCTTGGGGAAAACGGTTAATGAAAAATATTCTGCATAAAATTTCATAGGGAGTGTCTGAACAAAAGAAATTTTTATACCTGATTTATACTCAGAAAAAAATCATAAATTTCGGTTTCGATGCATTTTGACAAATTTAGCCCTTTTTCCAATTTCGCTGCAAATTTTCCTATATTTTCACTGCTTAATGGCCAGCCTGTACTGTTGAGGAAAATGAAGTACTCTTTTGCATAATTTTAAAATCTTATATTATTTTTCAGAGTAGTAGACATGGTACTGAAAATTTTATAATTTTCCAAAAATTCAAAAATTATAAATGTTTCAAGTTTGTAAGAAAATATCTGAATTCCTTCCCTGAGCACCAAAGTTAATACTATTTAATAATTTTCGTACTTTTTAGTTCGCATTTCCCCAAATACCCCCCATTTATCAAACAAACATCACAAATGGTGCTCTTAATGCTAAAATTTAAAGTTCCAACTTAATCACCTAACCGAATTTAGTACCATTTAGTACGTATTTTCCAAAACCAACTTTTAATCGGAAGCGTAGGTGGTAACAGTGATCCTAATGCCGAATTTTAGATTTTCAGCAGATTTTGTTCACGCAATAGCAAATTTAGTACCATAAGTACAACGTTGCGGGCACTCGAATCGAGATTAAGATATGTAACCACTTCCCTTTGGGCAATTCTCTTATAATCCTTTATTTTTCATTAAATTTTTAAGATAACTTTTTAAATGTTTGTTTCCTCTCCTCTCCTTTCCATGCATTATCGTACATTGTTATTTTTTATGTTTTCCTACCTTATCTTTATTTGCAACGCCAGTTTGTAGTCCTTGTTTTTGCTGAGCTTGCTGCTGTTGTTGTTGGTAGTATTCCTCGCGACCATTACTATTTAAGCTATCGATTATGGCCGATGTATTGACATGGGCATCATAAACAATATCCTGATTGTTGGTGGAACCATAACTATTCGACGAGGGCACAGTGGATGTTGTCGCCGAGGACGATGATAAACTTGCCATGTTGTTGAGTGGATTAATGCCGCCACCATAAGATGATGATGTGGTCAGAGGTGAACTGGACGAAGCATATTTATCCAAGGATGAGGAGGACACGGGTTTGGGCGCTGCCTGTTGGTATGATTGCAATGAGGGCTGGGCCAGTGGTTTGTGGGTGATCTTTTGTTGATACGACGACGATGATTGAGTTACTGTCGAGGGTGTGTGTGTAATCCTTTGTTTGGTTGATGAGGTTTTCGTGTACGAACTGCTGCCACCTGTTGATGTGGATGTGGAAGGACGACGTTTGCCTCCTGTACCCTTGGTCGAGGTATGACCGCTGGGTCTTTTGGTGGCACGAGTTTTTGTGGTTTTTCCACTTGTGGTCAGGGTTCTTTGGCTGCCAATTGTGGTGCTGAGGGTGGCCATTGTCTCACTTTCATCCGCTGCTGCGGTAATACCCACATTATTTGAACGTGCTGCCACAAATTCTTCCTGGGGATCCGTAGTCTCCGTGGCCGATTCCATGGTTGTAATATCATAATCCTCACTGGCTGTGGGCATATCTGTGGAGTTTTCAGCATCTTCATCCTGGCCATTGAATTCCGAATTCATTTCTGTGGTGGTGGGGAATTCAGGGATTTGTCCAGTCTGTGATGTGGTTACAGCAGCTTGGGCAGCGGCCAATTTATCCATTGAGTTTTGTAATTGCAACAGTGTGGTTTCATCTAAAACCAATGTGGGCTCAGTTTTACCCTCCTCCTCTTCCTCGTCGCCAGGGAAATTATCAGTGACATCGGTGGGTATTTGCGTGGAGTTTTCTTCATCATCACTTTTGTCTGAATTTTTAGTTTGAGTGGAATTTGCCAAGAGTTTTTCATTGATATCCAATGTCTCCTTGAGGCGGGCCACTCTCTCAACAATTCTCTCCAGCATATCCTTTTGAGATTCTGGTAAATTTTTCGTATCCAATGTCAGCAGTTTGTTGTATTTCTCAATATTCTGTTTCACTGTTTCGATATCTGCCTGCATTTTAGAGTCAGTGGGCGCTGCCACGGGTCGTTCATCCACAGGTTGGTAATAGGTTCGAGCCTTGCGATTACTATAGCCAACCAATTCAATTACTCCCGGGTAATTATCGGCCAGAGCCAAGGTGGCCATTAACGATAGCAGCAGTGTAAGCCGCAAGAAAAAGGATGGTGATAAACCCATTTTGCACACAATTACTTTTCTTTAATTTATTTTTATTGTGGTGAGCTTTAAAACACAAAATAATTTTTGGAAATGTTTAATTCGTTTTGTTTCGTTGTTTAAATATATATATATATATATATTAATTATTTTTTTCTTCACTCACACCTTTTTGCTTTCCACTGTAATGCAAATAGCTTTTGATAGAATTTATAATAAATCTTTTTTTGTGTTTTTTTTCTTTTCTATTCTGTTCTGTTCTATGTTATGAATGTCAGATAACTGTTTATTTCGTTACGTTTTGGCCAACTAAAGTGCTAGTTAATAAACCGATTTTCTTGTTCTGGCCTTCTCAACACACCACTGGCAAGTAGAAGCTACGCTACTTTTTTAGGCGATCGCTTTTCACAACTGCACGTTTAAAACAAGATTCTTTTACTGTCGCTCGCTCGCTCACTGATGCTCGAAGAAAGTTCAAGTTTGCCAAGCTAAAGGCAATTTCACGAACCGTTACCGCGCTTAGGAGTTTTCCAAAGAAGCAAACAGCAATAACACAAAACTAATTTGAACTGCAAGAATAACAACCTGCTTTTATCTCGGTGTTTCAGTTTTTTTTGCTTTTTGCTAGCTCGGGCGGGGATCAGGCAAGAATTTTTCAGATTGAGATTAACTGGGCGAACAAGAACGCTAGACTTGTAAATAGTAGCACCGCCGTGGTACAAATGTTTTGAGATTTGATTTTGCAGCGTCTTTTAAAATTTTTTCCTCCAACCTTAATTTACACACAGCCAAACACCCAACTAACCCAACATAACAAGCCAGCCAGCCAGCTATCCAGCCAACAAGTCAAGCAACCACCACCACCTCTTGCCACAGCATAGCTCTCCCAGCCCAGCGTCAATGTTTTCTCGCAACTTTTCCCCAAGTTCATGGTTTTTTATTTTCAAGCCAACACAAAACACACCACAGCCAAGACTAGTTTGTTCGCAGCATAGATCAGTTTAAGCCAAGTTTGATAGGCATGCCATACAACCATCCAACATGTTGTATTGCAACTTTCTTTGTTGTAATATTAAGTTTGTGCGGCAGAGTAACTTTCTTTTGTCTCTTCGGCAACGGTTGTGCTATGCTCTTTAGGCATTTCTCTTTGGATCGGTTTCTCTTTTGGCCTTTGTTTTTTACATAGCTTTGTTTGTTTGGTATTTTATTGGAGAAGTGACAGTGGTTACAAGAAGAATAAAAACTTAAAATTCACTTCATAAACGTTGAAAATATTTCAGTCGTGCTGAAAGATTTTATCGCGCCAAGTTTATGATCTGGGGAATAAAAACCGCACAGTGTTCGATAAAATCCGTTCCTTTGAACTGGATATTCCACAAACGTCATTACTCCGTATTTGTCATGACATCGAATGTTGACGTTGCCACTGAAGTGGAAATGGACCTCATCAGTCTAGATGATTATACCCGTCAACACTATGTGTTGGGGTATCATAAGTTTGATTGGGCTAAAAATTATGTAACACCTCGAAATATTGCTCCCCGACATAGCAAACTATATATGGATCTTGCTATCTCGCCAAGCTGAGGCGATCTAGCTGTGTATGTCCGTTCGTCCGTCTGTTCATGTTAATTTGTAATCACTCTACAGTTCGCAATTATGGCCCGATCCTCACGAAATTTAGCATGGAGATGGGGTTAAGGTGAGAATAGAAGCCTATTGTTTTAGGAGATGATCGCATAATATTTAACTTTAATGTAAAAAAAAACGAAAATTTCCAATAAACTGCGAATATTTTTAATCCCGGCGAAATCACAAACGCATGCAAAATCTCAATTCTGACCGTTACATTGATGCTCATATCCGAGATATCGCATATATAGCAAAATATATAAAAACTCCTATATCAATAAAGGGGATGTTAGTTAGACCGCTTATAACTAAAGAACGGCTGGACGGATTTTGACAATTTTCACCAATTTACAATGGCCTCTAACCAGACAAGGATGAAATCAAAGAAAACGCGTGAAAATATGCCAATAAAAAAGTGAATATTTTTTGTCAAAATTGTTATCGCATGCATATTAGCACGGCATAGAGGGGTATATATAGTAAAAATATCCGGTCAAAAACCAAAGGTAACATTTGTGCAGGACTGTATGGAATTATTTAAAAAATCAACTAAAATGGATTTGAACCGAAGGGGCTTCTAAAATATTATAGTGGTCGGCCCCGCACTTCTAGAGCATTTACTTACTTGTTTTCGACGGAATCATTCTCATGCATATCAAGGAGCAAATTAGCAAAGATAATTGGATTAAAATCCAAGTCTTTACTTTGTTGATTGGGTCCTTGATAAAATCATCAAGACTGATGAAGTCCATTTCCACTTCAGTGGCTACGTCAACATTCGAATTTGTCGCATCTGCAGTTCGGAAAACTTCGAGCGTTTGTAGTCCAGAGAGGTCATTGGTCCTTTTGACAATGAAGTTAGACCTACAATTACGATCGGGAGAGATTAATAATTTTTAATGGTCAGAGTTGGATAGACAACACTAACAAGACGTATCGCCGTCGCGCCATACGAAATCCTTTCCTCACTCAATACCAAGTGTTGTAATATTTAGTACCAACAGTTATAGCAATATACAACTTCACGGTTTCAACTCTATCCTTTTCACCCAATACCAAATTCATTTCAATTTAGTACTTTTCGGACAAATATAGGACTCATTTCCAAACCACCACCAAAAATCAAATTTCAGAATTGTATCACTATCCATTCACCTAATATCAAATATAGCACAATTCAGAACTTTTCGCGCAATTATAGTACACATTTCCATCTCCAGCTTTTCATAACCTTAAAGTTTGAATTTCCGTAAACCCTTTGGTACATCTGCACCTCGTCAGTAACTTATGCCAAATTCCGAATTCTAACTCATTTCGTTTGAATTGTAGCTGATTCCGTTTGTTCAAAAAAATGTATTCTATTTGTAGTACTTTTCAATACTTTTTGTACCCTTTTATTAAGAATTTCCAAAAATCAAGCCTAATCAAACGCCTTGTAAGAAGGCGAGAAAAGAAACACGACCTCTTCGTTAGGGTGTTATTTCAATTCTGATTTTATTTCAAAAATATTTTTCTTTAGTGCTACAAAAACTAATCTAACTTAACTCACTCGCAGCCACACAATTATTCTTATCTATTATTTGATTTAAAAGGAAACATTACATGGTTGCGTGTCCCTTCATTCATGTGATCTTGGCTACCTACTGGCGCATCGATATCTGTGTGTGTGGGTTATGACCTTTATTATCCTACACATTATCGTATGCGACAGCGCACAAGATCACTGAGTTGTACACATGTGATATTTATGACCACTGGGACACTAACAATTTTTAAATACTTATTTTTAATGGTTAGATTTTCCCTGCGCCTAAACCGCACCTAAAGTTTGTGCACAATATTTTGTACACGCCTACTGCAAAATTTCCGTCGTTTCATTTTTTTTTCACTTTTATACATGCAGATAAGTACGAACTTTCAAACTTCCCACAATCTATCAACGCTAAAAATTTCTAATACTATTTAATTTCTTAGAATCCCATTGAAATGTTTTTCCAAATTTTCAAATATCAGGATTCCAGCTCCATTCGCTCCTTCATATTCAAATTGTACTAAATAATGTACCGTTTAGTACTTTTCGTATACATGAGTACACACTTCCAAAACTACCTCCTTATATCGACTTTACTCCTCAACCTTGATTCCCTTTCCAAATTTAAAGTTTTTAGCGCTAACCGTTCACATGATACGAAATGGTACCAAATGTTGTTCATTTTAGTGCTTTTCGTAAACTTCGTACATAGTGCGAACATCCAAAAACTCTTTGGTATATCTATCATACACTCCATCAGTGACCCTCATTTTGGAATTTTAGCTCTACTGCTTGCTCAAATACCAAGGGTACCATATTTAGTACCTTTTATTTACTACTTTTCGTACCGTTCTAGTACTAATTTTCAAAAACCCGGCCTTATCTGACCCATTCGGACCAAGAGTAACCCTCACCCAAAATTTCAAAAATTCCGTTTTGTCAACGGAGAGAGATGGAAACTTTAAAATATTGGTATTGGGGTCTCTGCTGCTGGGTAGGTCTAAGATAATAAGTTTGGTTTGTACGAAAAGTATTAAATAGTACTAAATTTGGTATTGGGTAAAGTACTAGAGCTGAATTCCCGAAATTTGATATTGGATCTCTGATGATATCTGGGATTGAGATTGGAGCTGGTTTTGGAAGTGTATACTACAATTTTTGGAAAATGCTAAATTGTACTAAATTGGGTATTGGGTGAAGGAATATGTCTGAAGTCCTGCAATTCGTTCGAAAAGTACTAAGTGGTACTAAATTGGGTATTTTGTGAATGTATAGAGCTGGAATTCCGAAATGTCATATTGAGGTCTCTGTTGAAATTATTACTAAATAGTGCTAATTTCGGATCACTGTTGGTGTCTAGGATGCAGAGATGTAGATGGTTTTGGGTATACTTATTAAATGTTACTAAATTTGGTAGTGCATGAAGGGATGGAGCTGGAATCCTGAAATTTGATATTGTGGTTGGTGTCTAGGATTTACATATGGAGACGTTGAAATAGTTTTGGAAAGAATAATTGAATGTGCACCCATTTTGCAATGGTTCTACTAATATTCTACTCGATTAAAATCAAAATAAAAGATTTGTCAGACTTTTTGGTGTAAATGGTAAACATTTTCCCATTTCCAAAAAAGGAAACACTAAAATAATAATTTAATACTTTGAAAATCTGAAAATTTAGTACGATGCTCATTTTGGTACCTTCCAACAACGTTTTAGAATTTTGAATAATTATATCTCTAATAATATGCGAAACATTTCAACGATTTTTTAAAACTTGGCTTATCAAAAGATTTCTATTAACTTGAAATCTGATCTGACATAGCATTCGAAGCAAATAAGCGATTTTCATCAAACTTCGTGTATCTCATTTTTTCTGTTGACCATAATAAGTTTTATAGATATTTCTTTAAACTCCTTCTGGTTAAACTTTTGACTAACAGTTATTCCTATAGAATTTTAAATAACTCCCGATTCTTTTATTTTGCTATTTACCTTATGGTCGAGGATATTAAAAATGGAGCGATGGAGGAATTTTAGACACAACAAAGTATATATATTCTTGATCAGCGTAAAATTCTAAGACGATTTAGCCCTATATGTCCCTCTGTTGTAATCAGGCTAGAGTTAAAACGAATTAAGATAGGAAGCTACAATTTTGAACAGATCAGATATCGTATAGTCCCCATATAACGGTATTCCAAGAAATTCGATATTTTGATGATTTTAGCCAGATTTTACAATGGAATTGTCTGAATTTCTATACATGGAGTTCTTTACCCCCATGGAAGAGAATTTTCTATATGCGTCCACGAGATCGTATATCCCCCATATAACAGTACCTCACGATATTCGATATTTTGACGATTTCAGGGACATTATTCACCGGAGTTGTTTCAAATTTCGTATTTAGAGTTCGTAATAGGAACTACAGTCTATGCCAGAAAATTGTCTACGCAGACCCAGGCGTATGCTATTTTTCCTCTTTTAAAAATAATAGCTAAAAACCCCGAAATGTCAATATTTAAGGAGTTATGGCCATTTTTTCCTATCTAAAAAGGTGATGGCCATTTCAAAGTATGCTATTTTTCCTCTTTTAAAAAGTGATCACAAATAATAGCTAAAAACCCCGAAATGTCAATATTTAAGGAGTTATGGCCATTTTAAATTGTGCTATTTTTCCTATCTAAAAACGTGATCACAAATAATAGATAAAAACCCCGACATGTCCATATTTAAGGAGTTATGGCCATTTTAAAGTATGCTATTTTTTTCCTATCTAAAAAGGTGATCACAAATAATAGCTAAAAACCCCGAAATGTCAATATTTAAGGAGTTATGGCCATTTTAAAGTATGCTATTTTTCCCATCTAATAAGGTGATCACAAATAATAGCTAAAAACCCCGAAATGTCAATATTTAAGGAGTTATGGCCATTTTAAATTGTGCTATTTTTCCTATCTAAAAACGTGATCACAAATAATAGATAAAAACCCCGACATGTCCATATTTAAGGAGTTATGGCCATTTTAAAGTATGCTATTTTTTTCCTATCTAAAAAGGTGATCACAAATAATAGCTAAAAACCCCGAAATGTCAATATTTAAGGAGTTATGGCCATTTTAAA